GGCTGAAAAGGCGAGGCTGAGACGGAAGAAAAATGAGAGTCGCTTCTTTGTATTTTTTCGTGATTTAATTCCACTTTTTCGCCCTTTTAGTGTCAAAACCGCCAGCTGGAGCTTCTTCGGCTTCGCTCACGGCTAACTATCAACTAGTTATTATTATTTAAGCGGCTAAGCAGGACGCTCGGAGGAGCCGGACAGACGGACGGACAGACTCTCACGCTGCAGACTGGCTGCTCTCTGCGTCTTCCGGGGCGTCACAGGACGAGGTCTGCTGGGTTGGACAGCCTATACCCTGGCTGCCTGCACTGGCACAGAGAGAGGGACAATCGCACGACCGCAAGAGGGAGAAGACAATGGCCGTGGAGTACAGAGAATACAAGCTGCGACGGTCTTAGCCGGTGTTGACTGTTGACTGTTGACCTGTTGACTGTTGGTGGTTGAAGTCTCGATATATAAAGATGGAGATACTGCGCAATTGATACCACGGACAACAACAGCAATATCTCTCAATCGGTCTCTCTACATCGGTCTACGAGTATATCGACATCAACACTCAAAGATGCAGCTCTACAAGCTCGCCGTTCTCTTCCTCTCGTCCGCGGCCCTGGCGGCACCCGCACCCGCACCAGCCCCAGAACCAGCCCCAGTCCCAGCTCCAGCTCCAGCTCCAGCTCCAGAGACCGCCGTTTCCCCCGAGATGTTCAAGCGTGTTCCTCTGTGCTTCAAGAACGGGTCTCACTGCGAGCACAACGACGAATGCTGCACCAACAGGTGCTTGGTCCCGAATGACCCTCGCAAGGCCTACTGCGGGTAGTCTTTCGACGATTAGATTCAATATATAATAGCGACGGGCGGGGTATCACTGCGGCTTCTCGGCACTTTCGGCTTCTTCAACACGACTTATGACTTCGACTTTGACTTCAACCAAATCAATCAACTTCTTCAATCAATATCAATAAATAGTATCAATATCAACAATATCAATGTCAATCAATAATATTATATATCAATGAAATATCGATAATGAATTAACTTTGATTATTAATATATTATGTAATGAACATCTTACTAATATCTTACCAATAAACACGCTAACCCTTTATGGTAAATTGCATCGCGTCCAAAAAGCCTCAACGCGCTTTCGCTTTAATCTTCATACAAGCAGACAGAAGAGAAGACAGAGAAAGATACGGCATTGACAGTCAAGATGGGCATAAAGAGTGAGTATATAGTCTGTCTTGTTAATGCAATAGACTAATGAGGCAGACCTGTACCAGATAATATCAGAAAACGCCCCCGATGCCGTCAAGTCGGGCGAGATCAAGAACCAGTTCGGGCGCAAAGTGGCCATCGTGAGTGCATCTGCCCTTACCTTTAGAGAGCTATACTGACTGTAATAGGATGCGTAGGTCTTGATACCCTAATATAATAAGCAAAGACAAGACATGCTTACGTCTACAGATCGATGAGCATATACAGCTTCCTGATCGCCGTGCGGTCCGACGGGCAACAGCTCACCAACGAGTCCGGCGAAACCACCTCGCACCTGATGGGCATGTTCTACCGCACACTGCGCATGGTCGACAACGGGATCAAACCACTGTACGTGTTCGACGGGGCCCCTCCCAAACTCAAGTCCGGCGAACTCGCGAAACGAACGATGCGCAAGGCCGAGGCCCAGGAGGCTGCTGAAGAGGCCAAGGAGACCGGAACCACGGAAGACGTAGAGAAGTTCTCGCGGCGGACGGTGCGGGTCACGAAGGAGCATAATGCAGAGTGTAAGCGGCTGCTGGGGCTGATGGGGATACCGTACCTGGATGCGCCGACGGAGGCAGAGGCGCAGTGTGCGGTGCTGGCGAAGGCAGGGAAAGTGTTTGGCGCTGCGTCGGAGGACATGGACACGCTGTGCTTTGCGGCGCCGGTGTTGCTGCGCCATTTGACCTTTAGCGAGCAGCGGAAGGAACCTATTCTGGAGATCCATCTGGATAAAGTACTCGAGGGTTTAGGGATGGACATGACGCAGGTATACTTCACTGAAACTATATATATATTGTGAGTTCGTACTGATGAAGATGTAGTTCGTCGATTTGTGTATTCTGCTTGGATGCGACTATCTCGACCCGATCCCCAAGGTCGGCCCCAACACCGCGCTGAAGATGATCCGCGACCACGGCACGCTCGAAAAAGTCGTCGAGGCCATCCAGTCCGACCCGAAGAAGAAATACGTCATCCCCGACGACTGGCCGTACCTCCAGGCCCGCGAGCTCTTCTTCAACCCGGACGTGAGACCTGCCGACGCGCCCGAATGCGACTTCAAGTGGTCTGCCCCAGACGTCGAAGGGTTGGTCCGGTTCCTGGTCGAGGAGAAGGGCTTTAGCGAGGACCGGGTGAGGAACGGGGCTGCTCGGCTGACGAAGAACCTGAAGAGCGCCCAGCAGTCGCGGCTGGAAGGGTTCTTCAAGCCCGTGGCTAAGACGGAGGAGCAGAAGGCGAGTGCGAAGCGAAAGGCAGAGGAGAAGGCCGAGGCGGCGAAGAAGAAGAAAAAGGAGGACGCGAAGGCCAAGAGGGCGATGACTGCGAAGCCTCGGGGCGCTGGATAGTCTTTTCTTCTCTTTTCTTCTCTTCTCCTTTTTGATATATGATGATCTTCTGGTGTTGTTGTTTGTTTGTATGTTGATGTTGATGCATCTGCGGGCGTTGGCGTTCTCTACTAGGCTACCTCCCATCTATGTACTCCTCCCACTACGACTTCTGATTATCCTTCTTTCCATGCATGTATTGGGATGAAAGTAGTACCATCTTGAAGAGCGTCCCTTGCTCTATCCAACCATCTAACTTTTATCCCTTCATCTGTTCTTTGTACACCAAGATCAGCTCTTCTTCCAGCTCGTCTTCTTGTCTCGAAGTACCTTTTTTTTTGTTGTTTTGTTTTTTGGTGAAGGCCGAGCCTGCTGACTAAGACAAGGATCACCAAAACAAAGACGAAGAAGAAAACGCGAAGAGAAGAAGATCGAGAGATGATGAAGATGATGAAGATAGTAGAAGATAGTAGATGAAGTAGAGATGGTAGAAGAGAAGAAGAAGAGAGAGATGCATGAATGTCGAGCTAGACGCTGGCTAACCATGGAACGAAGGGAGAGAGCACGCGGCAGAAGCAGGAAGATCGCTGCAGTTGGTCGTGATCCTAATGGCTGTCCAGACAAGACTCGCTGCCGGACGAGAGTCTACTTTGATGTCTGTAGAAGTAGATACAGAGGTCTAGAGATGCTGCTACTTTAATCCTAGATATCTACGTAGAAGAAGAGAGTCGAAGTTGTGGTGGTGGATGAAGAGACATCCCCAGACTCAGGAGTATCTAGATCTAGATAGCTAGAACACTCGCCTGCCCAGCGACGACGACGAGGTGATGCAGCCTTTAACGTGTCTGAGGACGCAAAAGAAGACTCCAGCATGACTCTCCGGCCTCTTCTCAGTCGAATTCATGTCTCTTCTCCCTCTGACGATGTCTCTAGCATCAGGGATCACTGCCTGGAAGTTCCCCCCCTGCGCAGGACAGACAAGAAGAAAGAAGACGAAAAGAAGGCCAAAGGGAACGACGGCGACGACGAGAAGGAAGAAGAAGAGGCGCGTCCAGCCAGCCAGCATGATCTAGATACGAGACTCACTCAACAACGTCGACATGAGAACAGCAGAAGAAGAAGAAGAAGAGGGCCGACCAGACAAGACTAGAATAATAACTAATAGTAATAATAAGGAGAAGAAGGGTGATGCGGGAAGATCAACTCGCCCGTCCCGGCGCGCCTTTATAAGAAGGCCGCCCATGCCCCGCCAGCGCCAGCCTTTTCTCTCTCTCTTCCTCTTCCTCTTCTTCTTCTTCTTCTCTTCGACAACAACAACAACAACAACAACAACCGCGACTCGACGATAACTCGACTTGAAGACTCATCTTACTCTTCTTCTTCTCCTCTACTTTACTTCTACTTCTACTTCTTCTTTACTTCTACTCAAGTAATCGATCATCATGCCTGCTAAGAAAGCTGCCTCTGGCAAGTCCGCCACCCACGCTTCATACAAAGGTACGCCCGACGACCAACACCCCCCTGCGTGATCCGGCACTTGCGCTCGTCGCTCGTCGCTGAAACACATATCGCTGTGATCGCGTTCGCCTGCTGACTCGTTTGATATAGATATGATCAAGGATGCCATCATCAACGTGAGTAGATCAGTCCCGGTTTTGGGTGGCCTGTCGCTCGGTTGTTGGTGTTCGGTCGGGAGTTGCTTGTGCGTGTCACGACAACAACAACATGAGACCACAACACCACAGCCAGCGATAGATAGTTGATACCCTTATGATTAAGTGATTGAGTGATTGATGTTAACGTATTCCTCTACAGCTCAAAGAACGCAATGGAAGCAGGTAAGCTGTCGTCGTCTCGTCTCGTCGCTGGTGATGTCGTGATGCTAACTCGATGCAGCCGTCAAGCGCTGAAGAAGTACGTCCAGAACAACAACGCCATCAGCGTCACCTCCCAGGCCACCTTCGATGCGCAGTTCAACCGCGCTCTCAAGGCTGCCGTCGAGAAGGGAGAGTTCACCCAGCCAAAGGGTACGTCTCCCACTTCCGTTCATCATCTACTGCTATGAATTCATCATCTACTACTATCTACTATGGTGTTGTTAACACGCGTCTAGGTCCCTCCGGCCCAGTGAAGCTCGCTAAGAAGGAGACCAAACCAACTGCTAAGCCAGCTGCCAAGGTACGTTGTTGGTCCATGTTACCGGGCATTGTGTCATTCATTATACTAACACTCCATTATAGAAGTCTGCTAAGCCCGCTGCTAAGACAGCAACCAAGAAGGCCACCACCACCAAGAAGGCCGCTGCAAAGACCGACAAGGCCGATAAGGCCGACAAGGAGGAGAAGAAGCCCAAGAAGGCCGCCGCTACCACCAAGAAGGCTGCTGCCCCCAAGACCCCCAAGCCCAAGGCCAACACCACCAAGCAGCGCAAGGCCACTTCTTCCGTACGTCTTTCTATCTCTTTTGATTCTCTGTCTTTCTCGTTAATATTAACTAACATGTGGTAATAGGCCCCCGCTGTCGTTGATGTCCCTAAGGTGCTAGGCAAGACCAAGTCCGGCAGAGTGACCAAGTCATCTGCTAAGCCCGCCGGTGCTAAGAAGGCCGCCGGTACAAAGAAAAAGGCCGCCTCCTCCACAAAGGGAACACCCAAGAAGGCCGCAGCCGCTGCCACTACCTCCAGCTAAACAAGGCCAAAAAAAAAAAAAATAAAAAAAAAGAGGAACCAACACCATCTCCGTCATGAACTTGTAATACGTGTGTGTTGAATTGGGCCCCCTTTTTTTTGTCCGTTTTTTTTCATTCGTTTTTTCTCATCGTTTGTCTCCCTGGTGGATGGTCTCTTGCACACGCACACTTCAAAATACCCTCTTCATCGTTCCCCTTTTTCCTCGTCTACTTCCTCCATCATCATCACCAGGGAACAACAAACGAACCGGCGTCTCGAGGTGGGGGATCAGGTATGGATGGAACTTGCATTACCTTTCTTTCGTCTTCGTGTTTTGTGTCTGCTGTTTTTTTCGACTTGTTTCTTGCTCTTCGTGTTAATGTTTATGGCTATGTTTTGTTCTCTTTTTTTACTTCAACGTCCGAGTAAGTAACTAGTCAGTTAAGTAGTTCAGCCTCTTTTTGTGTGTATGGATATGAAATCGATTTCTCCTGTCGTCAAGTACGCTCGTCTCGTTTACGACCCAAGCGTTGGCGCATCCGGCGTCAACGTCTCAGCTGATGTCCATCTCGTATATATCCTTTATAAATAGACGTCTTCTCCTGACTCTATCAACTACTCCGTACATTCAAACTAGTTATACTCCTCCGTCAGATCAGTTGCGCAACAGCCAAAATGACCAACTCCATCACTTCAACTTCAACCTCCAACTCAACATCTACTTCTACTTCTACTATCGACAAGCTCAAGGCCTTCACGCACTCCTTCACCCGCAACAAAGAAACCAAAGTCGATTTCTACCTCAAAAACTACGGCTTCGTGCCCAAGAACGTCATGACGGAAGCAGAGTGGGCAAAGGCCAGAAGGGATGCACCAAAGGTCAAGTCGGCTACGGGCCTGAAAGCCACTGCTTACCAGGGACATTACTGGTGATATCCTTGCACTACCAACGCGTTCATCGGGGATACATTGTACGCCGCCCCTTCTAGCCCCGTATGCAACATTCAACCAGGGCATACCAGTTAATGTTGGACGTTGGGCGGGACACATTAGCAACATCTGGACATAACAGGAGGTAACTAATATTAACTATTTACTCACCTCACGAAGACAACTTCAAATGGCCTCCTTTCAAGATCTGCCGCACGAGATAGTCCAGCTTATCGGCAGCTACCTATCACCGGCCAGTCTGCACAATTTCTCCCTGGTCAACAGCCTCTGCTGCGCTGTCTCTGACCCAGGCATCTTCCAGCACATCCATCTCGTTCTCTCAGAGAGGAAGAAACTGATCGAAGAGCTGCACCGATGGGACCAGATTCTACATCAAAGCCCAAGGCGAGCAAGCAGACACATCCGTCGTCTCACTATCAGCTGTACCTGCTACCCCCGTGGCTGGACGGATTTTGAATCATGGGCTGAGAATGAGTCCTGGGTCTGCGGGTGTTACTGCGACTGTTGCCCCGATAATGGCGTCCTAGACGACTTTTTCTACTATCCTGCTGGCTCGACTGATCTTACTGCCGCTAAACTTGACCGGGCAGGCCAGGCAGAGCTTGAAGAGGAAGATAAACGATGGCTTTGGCACGAGAAATTCAACTGGAGACCTCTGACTGAGTTTATCGCTCGGCTTCCGGCCCTACATGAGCTGGTGTACTTTAGGTTGAATGTGCCTCCGCCCGGTTTGATGGATGTCCTGCACGACAGACATCCGCGATGCCGTTTACTTATTCTGCATCCTGCCCTTGAAGTGCTGCAAGACAATAGAGGGCGGATAAATAGATACCATCGTCAACTGATTACCTCGCCAAACCTACACCATGCAGCGGTGGATGTATCCAAGACATCCCACGAGCTTCAGCGCCGGATATTCCACCCAGAAGTCTATACTGGCTAGGTATCTCGAACGATAACGTGACAGCGACTTGCTTCGAGGCCCTGGCTAGATACATACTTTTCTCCCGCTTGCGTTGTCTGGTGCTCCTGGGTGACATTCAGAATGATGGGATAGCATGGCTGGTGTCGAATGCAGGCATATTCACATCCCTTGAGGCCCTTACCTGCGACCTAACTACCCACGATGATGACACGGACTCCTTTGAAGTTCGGCAACGCAGGGATCAAACTGGCGTTGCGGTTCTAGCAGCCTTTCGTCCCCTCAAGAGGTTGACGCTAAACAACTTGTATGGTAGAGCGGTGTATAATGCTGCCCTACGGTACCACGGTCCAACATTACAACAACTTTTCTTGCACTCTACAAATCGCAAGATCTTGCTCCATGCGTCTGTCAAGATGATTGACAATATCCGCCTTACTTGTCCCAATTTACGAAAATTACGTCTATCCATCCGCCGCTCCCAGGGCGATCGGCATGAAGTCGAGCATTACCGGGCTTTGGCCAAAATACCCAAGCTGGAACTACTACACCTCTACCTTGATCCCATAAACTATTCAAGGGACCCAGACTCCCCGGAGACATATGATTTGACACGGGCCCCTATTGTAGACGACGCGTATATTCGTCAAAGCCTGGTAAATTGCGCTGTTGACGCTTCTCTGGCCGTCAGCATATTCAAGATCATTGCCAAAAATCCTTTTACTAGTGGGTATTCAGCATTCAAAGACATCACGGTCTATGTACGCACTGGTAGCGCACGGGATATTAGTTCGGGGAACCCGCGTTACGCATCTTACTTCTCTTTTTTCCGCTATTCAACCTACAAGCCATGGAAGTGTACTCGCGGTGAGGGTTATGATGAGGTGGTTGTTAAGAAGATCGACATTGAACATTGGTCTAGTATAAGTGAGGATGAGATTGAAGATCTTGATAGGGACCATGCAGGGTTGTTTAGGAGTATTTGGCCGGAAAGACGAGGGAGAAATTGCTTGGAGGATTGGTATAGCCTGCCTTTGGATGTAGATACCTAAATCACTGGTTCCCAGGCTGTGTTTTAGTGGTTCAGTATATTTGTTTCCACTAGAATTGAATTGGAACTGGCTGTGAAGTTGATATAGTTATTCAAATATCTCATTGGTCGGTGAGTATTTATTCTGGGCTGTAAGAAGCCGCCATGCACCTCATAATATTATTGTCTTGAAGCAAATTTCATGTATGGCTCTCCTAGCCAGGGAGGCCTAGTTACTCATTATAATTAACGATTCCACGATATCACCACCAGCTTCTTCTATACCCCCATATCAATATATATGTTAGGCCAGTGGGTTCGCTGATGGGATGATGAGTGCCGGTTGGGGATTTGCACCTCTTCGATCTGTGTTTCTTCGGTCCATTATCTTTCAACATCATCATCCAAGGCTTCCGAATAAATCTCTACTGACCCGACCTCAACTTGCCAACTATTCAACGGCTGAAATACAACCCCTGGATGCTGAAGAAAGGATATACCACCCTCAGTCAGACGTGGAGGACTTGGAGGGATACAGGCCTGGCGGATACCATCCAACTGTTGTCGGAGACACTCTTTGCGATGGCCGCTATAAGATAATCCACAAGCTGGGATACGGGGGTTATTCCACCATCTGGCTTGCTCGTGACCAACAACGCCAGCGTTATGTCTCACTGAAGATTCTTGTTGCAGCAGCTTCAAGGGAAAGTGATGATAACGAGAGTAAGATTCTTCGTCTATTGTCAAAAAGCGGCCTGGAGCATCCGGGAAGGCGATTTATACCAACCTTGCTGGACCAGTTCTCATTTAATGGGCCTAACGGGCATCATCAGTGTCTTGTGGGCGAACCAGCTGGGTGTAGCATAGCCAGCTCAAAGGAGAACAGTACAAATCTCATGTTTCCTCGAGATGCTGCGAGATCTATTGCGGCACAGCTCGTCATGGGTCTGGACTATTTACACGCGAATGATATATGTCATGGGGGTATGTATCTTTTCCTTAGCTTGGTTTACCTATTCAAGGTATATTAACTACTGAATTAGCAGACCTCCATTTGGGCAACTTTCTTCTACGTGTCCCAGAATTTGATAACCTGAGTCCGGATGAATTGTACGAACGACATGGTAAACCATACGAGGTTCCTACTCATCGGCTTGATGGAAGGCCTAGCACCCCCCATGCACCATTACATGTTGTTTATCCTATGAAGCAGAATATGCCTTCGAACGATATAACAGATCCTGAGATTCTAATTTCAGATTACGGGACCTCTTTTGCTATTTCGAAAACAACATCTCCAAGACTCCATACCCCGGCTCTCTATGCTCCTCCAGAAGACTTCTTCAACGATAGCATCATCGGCACTGCAGCAGATGTATGGACACTGGGTGTAGTCTTGTACGATGCCATGGGTGAAAGGCCACTTTTTGAAACATTTGCATGGGATCCAGACAACATCATTGGTGAGATGGTGAATACACTTGGCTACGAACAGATGCCTGAACGATGGTGGAACTCCTGGAAGTGTCGCTCTGAGTTCTTCAATGAGGACGGTTCCTGGGTTAGCAACTTCCAACGCATTGGCACACCTGCGTTCCGCCGTCTTCATCAGCGGATGTGGGACATGGGACGCGGTGAGACTCCCGAAAGCTGTCAATGGGATGTTGCTGGTGGTGAGCTTAAGGCGTTGGAGGATATGTTGAGATCTATGATGACTTTTGAACCGGCCAAGAGACCCACGGCGAGGCAGCTTATGGAGTCGGAGTACATAGTCAAATGGGCCTTGCCGGCGTGGCAGAAACAGATGCGAAGGAAGCAGTAGATACTTACATACATACCTCGTATTGTGAGCATCAACAGAGCGGAAGCCCCAAAGGTCCAGCCTCTGTCAATTAAGTTTAGTCGATTAGTCATTCTTCCCGGGCCGATCCGAGAAAATTTAAGGTTTAATTGCTGACTAAAATTATTTTTAGCCTCGCTTACCTAACACAGAAGTCCATTCTTAGGGCTGGATCTGAGAGATGAAGCGACCTTTGATATTAGGGGCTACACGATAACATTGACTAGTCCTTATAAAACTGGCCAGCTCAAGCCCTACACTATGCATCTCACTCATGGACGAGAGAGCGACGGCTGTTCTGAGTATATTATGACGCAGCTTAAAGGCTGGTCAATGACGAGTGACCCTGAGACGTTTTAAACTGTATATCGGAATGCACGAGGCTGGCAAAGAGCAACAGGACAGGTTTATTAGGTATGCAAACGAGAGGCAGACAGGTCCGGTCCGAATTTCTGTCCATGTATAATGTCGGAGCCAGAGGCAGCATTGGATTTAGCTGGAGTTCTCATATCAAGTCGACTAAGCCGAGAAAAAGTGAACCTGCACTGGTGGTTCTCGCGTGATGAAGTTATATGTTTCGGGGTACTTCCAAGTAGCACGCATTGCCTTTTATATTACGATTCTTTTAATCTTGTTTAATTGTTTATTTTTAATCCCCTTGCTCGGGACCCAGGCTTGGGGTTATCCCGGACAGATACACCCTGTCAGCTCGTTTTAAGTGTCGTAAATACATCTCTCTATAGCTCTCTCTTTCACTATAGAATACGGCAGACTACTACCGGATATATGCTAGATGCTTTCTTCCAGCTCGCGTCTTTTACTAGGTAGATGGAGATATCAACTCCTATTACCTCCTTCATTGACTCGACCCAGCTGCCTATGCCAGAATAAGCTATCATGGAGAGCCTTTCGTACTTGCAGCTCTGGGCTCAGGATGGAAGAAGATTCTGCTACCTCCAACACTCCCAAATACGAATACATCGAGGGCTGTGAACGGCTGGAGAGGTACAGTCCCGGTGGTTATCATCCAGTGAAAATCGGTGACCAGCTGTGTCATGGGCGGTACAACATTGTCCAATTTCTAGGGCACGGAGGCTCTTCAACGGTTTGGCTGGCTTTAGACAAGGTGAAGCAAAAATTAGTTGCTGTCAAGATAAAAACGGCCGATTCGACTGATCAAGAGGAGGAGATCATGGCTGAACTTCGTGATATGCCCTTGATCAGACAGCTGCAAGACGTCTTTGTCGAACATGGCCCGAATGGAACTCATCGATGCCTTGTCATGGAGACGGGATTATGCAGTCTGAGAGTGTCGAAAGTGATGTCTGCTCATGAACTGTTGTATCTTTCTACTGCTCGAGTCATCATTGCAGAACTGGTGTTGACTGTCCAGTCCTTGCATGATCGGGGGATTGTGCATGGCGGTTAGTTATTGCTACCAACTTATTATATGGCCATATGTCGTTGTTGAGTCGCTGTAGATATCCACGGCGGTAACATTTTACTACGGCTTCCAGAGGATATCAGGCAGATAACAGATGCTACAACGCTGTATCAACGGTTTGGAGAACCCATTACGAAACCTGTTGTCAGAGTCGACCGTCAGCCACTGGATGTGGGTGTCCCTACTCATGTATACTGGCCAATACGGCTATCAGTTCGATCTGACAAGATTATGGACTCTCACCTGCCCATCATGCTATCGGACTTTACTTCCAGCTACTATCCAAGCCAGACGAGGCAGATGATTTCTCGCACCCTCCCTCACATCGTCCCTCCAGAAGCGTTCTCCATTGATGAACACAAAAAGGAAGAGAGTCTGTGCTTTCCTAGCGAAATCTGGACTCTGGCATGCACTGTATTCGACATTCTCGGTGGGGGAGGCCTCTTCAGCGTATGGGAGGCGGTATTCTTCAGGACCAGGCCAGCGCGCTAGGCAAGTTCCCCGAGCCCTGGTGGTCCCAGTGGGAGGAGCGGGCAGAGTTCTTCACCGAAGACGGTGTGAGTATTGAGTTTCCGAATTCTAAAGATAGCCTGGAAGACCGGTATGACTGGTTCATCACTGCGGCTCGACGACGATATAAAATGGAATATCCGGACGAGGAGGAGAAGAAGGCCTTTCTCCAAATGATTGGGCCGATGCTTCGGTATGTCCCTGGCGAGAGGGCGAGTATTCGGGACGTTGTTAATTCGGAGTGGATGCAGAAATGGGCTCTCCCATGCATGCATCGGAGTAGCTAAGAGTACCCTCTCTCTTGTAACATATGTAGCTCTGTGTCTCAATGATCTCATCTCCTAGTTATCCACAGTTAAATGGAACACACCCCTTTGACCCGGGAGCCCTAACAGCCAAATCACAGTTTTATATCTTGACTCCAGGTTGTGGCAGTGCAGGCGATGCTAAGTCTCTTGTCCACGCTAAATCCTACCACGCGCCATTGACTTTTGGCCCGCTTCCGCACCAACACGAGGCGAGCAAGACAGAGAGACTGAGGATTGCCCAGGGGTGGACCATGACCGGGCATCCATGTCTGCAGTAATAGCCTGATAATATTATTGTGCCTGTCTGTCTGTCTGGCTGGCTGGGCTATCTTAGGTTCAATCCTCAGCTGAACTGTGTTGGCCCGGAGACTCGGTAGATTTCGCAGTCTCCTTCAGAGTAGAATCCGTCTGTCTCTCTTCATCCATCACCATCACCGTGACTGTCACAGTCTCGTCTTACTCGCTCTTCGTCTATCAGCCCGTAGTTAGTTCCATCCTGCAGCGAGGGTCAAATCAACGACAACGACCAGCAACGACGACGTACGACTGAACCGACTGCCAGCGTGTCAGTGTCCCGTCAGCCAGCGCGGCCTAGCCTTGCTCGTATCTCGCGCTCACTTGATGGCCCCCTGTTTCTGGTAGTTAGTTAGTTAGTGTTTTTCTTCTTTGCTGCCGGAGGGTTCCTTTTTGTGGCTTGACAGCGAAAGGGAAGAAAAAAAAAGAACGACTTTTTATGTTTCTTGCTTGGCGGCCGCCAGCGAACTGACACTCCCCAGCGACGACGACGACGCCGACGACGACGACGAAACCAGCTTCAACGGCCCATCTCCATCGCCAGCTGCTTTGCTCCGACCAGACGACGGCAAGCAAGGTGGAAGACCAGACGAGACGACGAGTCGACGGCCAGCAGCTGCTCGTCC